CCTGCCCAAGGTGCTTGCAGGGGCACGATTTGATGGAAACAGTTTTTTTTTTTTAAAGATTTATTTATTTGTGCATACAGAACTGGGATACAGGCCAGAGGGTCAGAGGCGGCGAGAGGCTTCACCAGAGACAGAGTGGGGAGCAGGACAGGCAGATCGACGAAGTACACTGCTGAGGGGAGCAGTGGGCGGCCCAGGAGAGGTCTGCCGCGCCATGGGGTCACCTCCGGGGCAGGCGGGAATCGAACTCATGCGGATGCGGCTTTAGATTCTCAGTGCTTCAACCCGCTGCGCCACCAGGGAGGGCCGGAAACAGTTTTTAAGGAACAAATGTAAAGTTACTCTTAATCAGAAGAAGCCGCCAATGACCAGAGGGCTCTCCGAGTCAGTCCAGGGGACCCTTAAGGTCTGGGTGCTGTAAGGGACCCAGTTGGAGACAGAGGAGGCTTCCCCACAAAAGGGAGAATCCCTCCAAGGCAGGAAAAGCAGTGACGAGCTGGGTACTGTGAGCGCCCCAGTCCTGGGTGTGATACCAGAACTTTGCCGGGAGAACCAAAGGCAAGAGCCCCCCGCCAAGCCTGGAGGCTCCCTCCCACTACCCTTTCCGCTCCCAGATGATGACCAGGCAGGGAGGCCCTAGTGGCATGCAGGGGGAGGTGGCCTCGTGTTTGGAGGTGGCCCTTGGGGAAAGTCCAGAGGGGGACGTGGTGGACACAGAGTGGCCGCTGTGACGTCCAAGGTGCCGCATGAACCGAAGAGGCTCTGGGGAGGCAGACGATGTGGCTGTGCTGACCCCTGTGGACTTTTGGAGAAACAGAAGGAGGGAGGAAAAGGCGGGCATGGAGAACTTCGCAAACACATAGAGGCCAGCACCTTCTGGAAGGCAAAGTCCCCCATCTGGAGACCGAGACTGGCAGAGCTGCACTGGCCACCAGGTTTTTTATTAAAACTGAAAGAAAGGGCCCTCCCTGGTGACATAATGGGTTAAGCGCAGCACTATGAAGCTGTCTTCAGCCACCCCAGCATCAATCCCTCCCAACCAGGGAGCTGACCCACACGGTGAGGCAGAGCTCTCCTGTCTCTTCACTACTCCCCTCAGCAGTGTTTCAGTAGATCCATCCTGCTCCCCAGTATCTCTGGTGAATCCTCTCGTCCCCACACCTCTGGTCTGCACCCCACTTCTTGTATGCATAAATAACTTTTTTTTAAAACTAAAAAAAAAGTAATTTATAATTCCACATTTATTATGTTGGCTACAACATGATTATTCCATATCTGTACTTCAGTCCATTTCACCTTTTGTGGTGAAACGTTAAAATGTATATTTGTAGCAACGTTATTTACTGTATGAATAAACCTTATTTATTGGTGTGTGAATGGTTAAAGTTGTGTATAGTGTATCCCCCCTGAATCCCACACACCGTGGAATATTATGCAACCATTAAAATGAGGAAATCCTACCAATAATAGCACTTGAATAGCCCTTGAAGGCTTATATTACATGAAGTAAGACAGACAGAGGTAACTAAGTATTGTATGATCTGACTTATATGTGGAATCTGGGAAACAAAAAAAAGCCCAGGAGTATACAAAAAGAAATCATACTAGAGATGGAGGAGGGCAAGAGGGAATTGCTGGAAGGAGGCAAAAATGTGCAATCTCCAGCTAACATAAAAGAGTTGTAGTATGCCATGTCGATGATTGTCGTTAACAGTACTGAATGACGAGAAGCCAGCGGGGCAGACTATAGACAAACTAGCCAGTTTTGACCATAAATCTGAGACAAATAGCGGAAAAGGGGTAAGAAGGAGAGAAGGGATCAAAACAGGTGAGGGGCGAACACAAAGAGTGGAGAGGTGGAGCAGGGGGCGGGACTATGGTGTTGGGACAACTGTGAGAGTATGAGGGGAGAAATCAAATACTGTCCAAAAATGAGCCATGAAAGAAAACAAATACCTCAGGGTTTGCATAAAGATGCAATTATTTTTCTTTCTGCCCTTATTTTTTTTTTCACATTCTCTACACGAAGAGAAGGGTGTTAGCTGAAACTGCTGTGGTCATCCTTACACTATACGTCAATCAAAGCACCTTGCTGCCTGCCTTATATCTCTACAGTGATGCCTGTCAATTATTTCTCAATTATCTTTCACCCACTGGAGTATAACAAATAACAATAAATGTAAATCAGTCAAACCAACTGCTTTTTAAAAAGATTTATTTATTTATGCATTCAAGAACTGGGGTACTGCCAGAGGTGCCAGGGGTGTGAGGATTCACCAGTAACAGAGTGGGGGGCAGAACAAGCAGATTGACCGAAATACACTGCTGAGGGGAGCAGCGGAGGAGACAGGAGAGGTCTGCTGTGCCATGGTGGTCAGCTTCCTGAGCAGGGATCGAACTGGTGATGCAGTGGCTGTGGAGAGCTTCATAGTGTGGTTCTTCAACCTGTTGCACCACCAGGGATGGCCCCATCTTTTTTTTTTTTTTTTTTTTTTTATGATTTATTTATGCATACAGAACTGGAGTATAGGCCAATTTTTTTTTTTTAGTTTTTTTGAAGGACAGATTTACTAGAAATAGGAGAAGGGAAACAAAGAGCCATCGACGTGTCTGTATTTGCATGTCACAGACCACAGTCTTGGGACCAGAGCTGCCTACAACTACTCTTGATTCTTGTAACTAATACCTTAATTGTTAAAATAGGAAGGGGAAAGGAAAGACAGCCAGATGCAGGTACAGGTGTGCTATACTCCATATAGCACATTATATCCCTGCACAATTTAGTTATATAAAGAAAACTATCATCCTCACAAGGGCCCTTTCCCCTGGGAGTCCCAAAGTTGTGCAGCTTTTTCCTTCATAATTGTTTAAATCCCATCACACACCATGTGACATTACCTTAAAAGGACCAGAGTCTGGATAGAGCTGACTTGGTCACCGTTTATTGAAATGAAATTTAATGACTTAGTTCATACCAGTCACTCCTCTCCATGGAGTATTTGCAGTGACTGCAACCATTGGCAGGGGAAACACCCTAAGATTAAATGTAAATTAACTGATGTTGAAAATCTACACCACCACAATGGTCTTTTGTATACCCACCCTCATTTTCTAACTACATGCAATTCTGTAAATTATGTTGTATCTTCACAGTATGGAAACAGTGATGAATGGAAGGTAAATTTTCCAATGACACAGATGAATATATAGATGTATCCTGAAAATCAGCCTTCGGAGCTTCACGGTAATGACTTGTCCATCATTTCATACTTCAGGGATCTTGGAACACTTTGACCAGCACAGGAGGGAAAATTTCTCCTTGCTGTCTGTACACTCTTCCATGAATGGATTCCTGATTCAGACTCCACTTCAGGATTGCTTTTGCCTTCTTTTCAAGGAGCGTGGTAAGTTCTCACAGTCAATCCACTCTTCTAGTGAGGAATGAATTTATGCCAAAGCAGTGGGGATGCTTCTTCGTATGAGTCTTCGAGCTCACATCTTGCTATTGGAACTTTGTTTGCTGAGATGATCTAGTATCCGTGTGCAAAAAAAGTTTGTCGGCAATGAGTACATAGAAATTTATTAAATAGTATGCTTCTTTCTTTAAGCAGATGAGCTAAAACCTATGATGGCTGACATTGAGCGGTGCTAATTTCCTGCTGTTGACCATGTGCTGCCATTGAAGAGATAGCTAGCCAAGCAGGGTGAAGGGACACACACTCCAGAGGGATCTTCATGGCACTAGTCTGTGATGCTTAGTCCACTTTCACTAGCACTTCCCCTCAATCTCACCATTGCATTACTAGAAAATCTAGTATTTTTCTAGAAAATCTAACAAGGCAGTGGTTATGCAGGTGGTTCATGCAGGTAGGCATGAATTGTACCTGAAATACCTTGTGCTAGGTGGGGAATTCTAATTAAGCACACAAACTATTGAATTCTCCATTTTCTTAACTGCAGATTGTCTCTTATAATTGTTGTGCATACACTACTGTAACCCTCCTCTACTAATTCTATCTTATCTATCATCTGTCAATGTCTACTTTTCCATCTTTGAAACCAGTTGTACATGAGCAGTGAATTAAAGTTGTTAATCTCAGGAGAACTGCTAGTTTACATAGACCCTAACAATTTATATAATTGATATAATATTATGTTGATTATATTATGTTAATATAGGTGAGATATTGACAAGCAAGTTAAGCTCTAGACATGTAAGGTGATGTTTAGGGACTAGGAAGACAATGATAGGAAAGAGTGGTCACCAAAGAATGGATAACTTTCACAAGGGTTTGTCTGAAAGAGCAAAGATTCATGCTTGCTCATGAATAGATTTCCATATCAGAATCAACTCTAATCAACCGTAATCCATGAATTTTCTTTTTTATTTAATTTTTAATGTATTTATGACATAAACCTTAGTTTTTTGTTTTTTGTTTTTTTTTTTTTACAATTTATGATTTCCTGTGAAATTCCCTCTCCCAGTCCCCCGGGCACCATCACCATACTCCCTTGTGCTCTTCCCACTCCTTAGTTCTTCTCCCTCCTGCTCCCCTCCAGAGTGTCTCTGATCTATAGTCACCTGGTGATTTTGATTTTTACTTTATTATCATTTTTCCCCTGACTCTTTATTTGGCTCCTCCACACTCCTCCTATAAGTGAGACTATTTGATAGTTTTCTTTTTCCTTCTGGCTTATTTCACTGAGCATAATCCCTCCCAGCTCCATCCATGTTGCTGCAAAGGGCATGAGTTTATCCTTTTTGCCCAATCCATGAATTTACAGCCCTCCATGTCTCCATATGACAGTAACTGATCCAGCTCATTATTGACAGGAACCACAGTAAGATTGAATCTAATACCACTGGGGTACTTCAGTACAGGCTCAGAGCAGGCTGAAGAAAGAGAACTGTCTGTTCCTGGGGCTTCTTACACAGTGACTGACACAGTCATGAGGACAGAATGTGACAAACGGGGAGGACAGAGTATCTTAGTGCCCACAAAAAAGTCACATTTGAGAATAAGAGGACCAGGCTTCAAAACTCATCAGCCTGTGTTTATGACCCCAACTATGCTAGACCAACACAGAGACCATTATTCCAGCCTACTACTAATAATGATAATACTTATCTATACTCAGAATTGTATACTATATACTCAATTCTATACTCAACACTCACCTTGTGCTATTTTCATGCGTCATTTCTTTGGACTCTCACAATAATTCCAGTACCATTTGCTAATGGATAAAATGGGAATCATGGTAGTTAAGACCTATGCCTTTTAGGTAGTAAATGGTAGGGCCAAGAGATGAATGCATATGTGTTGTCAAAATCAAGGCTTCACATCCAGCGCCATGCCTTCTTTCCAGAGGTGAGTGGTGGTAAATGTACCTCAAATGTACCTCTAACACTGTATTTAACCCACAGTATATGCACTGTATTTACTTATGAGTTTCTCAACTAAATGACTCCATGTAATGAGTTTGGTACAATAGAAACATTTAAATGTACATTGCCTGGAATTACAATCAATTCAAATTCATTAATGGCATTAAGTTAGACTACTCTGAGTGTGTCTAACGTTTAATTTGTCTATTAATACCTTTGTACCTTTAAATAAACACTTAATCTCTCTGTTGCCAACTTCCAATAAATAAGTGAAATAAAATAATGAATACAAATGATGAGTGGATTAAACATATATTGTGTGTGTGTGCGCGCATGGATATGGATGCTTAGCACCTGGCACGTGGGCACACTAAAGGAGAAAGTCATTAGAAGACTCAAAAGTTCTGGTTTAGAAAATGGACTTATTCTAGACATGGGAAACTGGGCAACTCCTTCATCCTTCCTGGGGCTCCGTTTACTTATATATAAAACCAACAGGTTGGGAAGTCCACAATGACCCTTCTTCTTAAAAATACTATTAACATAACAATTAGTTAATTATAAAGGGTGTTCTCCTGCCCATGCTTGAGGCTGAAATATATTGACAAAGAAATTACTACCCTAATAACATAATGTTTGTCCATTTCAATTTATGTGCATTAATTTTTAATCAATATGTTCTTCTCTTTGCTACAGGGCATTTTGTGGTTCTCAGATCACATCCATGGAGAATAACACGGAGGTGACTGAATTCATCCTGGTTGGACTGACCAATGTCCCGCAGCTGCAGGTTCCTCTCTTTGTTATATTCACACTCATCTACCTCATCACTCTGATAGGAAACTTGGGGGTGGTCACATTGATTCTAACAGATTCCCGTCTCCACATCCCCATGTACTTCTTCCTCAGCAACCTCTCTCTGGTGGACTTTTGCTACTCTACAACAGTCACTCCCAAGGTCATCGCTGGATTCCTTATAGGCGACAAGGTCATCACCCACAATGCCTGTGCTGCTCAGATGTTCTTTTTTGCAGCTTTGGCCACTGTGGAAAATTACCTCTTGACAGCAATGGCCTATGACCGCTATGCAGCCGTGTGCAAACCCCTGCATTACACCACCATCATGACCACAAGTAAGTGTGCTCGTCTGGCCATAGGCTCTTATTTCTTTGGTATCCTGACCGCAGCTGTTCATGTAGGAGACACATTCTCTCTCTCCTTTTGCATGTCCAATGTGGTCCACCACTTTTTCTGTGATATTCCAGCAGTCATGAGTCTGACTTGCTCAAATAAACACTTCAGTGAAATGACTCTTGTTCTTCTTTCAAGCTTTCACATATTTTTTGCTCTTACTGTTATTTTGATTTCCTACACTTTCATATTTATCACCATTTTTAAGATGCACTCAGGTGGGGGTTATCAGAGGGCACTGTCTACCTGTGCCTCTCACCTCGTTGCAGTTTTTATTTTTTATGGGACTGTCATCATCATGTACTTACAGCCGAGTTCCAGTCATTCCATGGACACAGACAAAGTTGTATCGGTGTTCTATACTGTGCTTATCCCCATGCTGAACCCCCTGGTCTACAGCATGAGGAACAAAGATGTCAAGAATGCATTCAAGAAGTTTGTTGAGAAGGCAAAATATTTTCTAGTTTCTTAGTCTTTTAATAAGTAAAAATCACAATGTTATTTTGTCTCATAGATTCACTCCATCCCATTAGTCAATGCCCACGGCCATGTAGAACAATATAAAATACAAAATTATGTCTGATATTATCTCTTTCCTTAGCTTTGAAAGTGGTAAACATCCCCAGAACAGAAATATATAATTATACTGGTAAGATTTATTTAATGAATTATATGTTTTGGTCATATTTTATCTGTGTGTAAATAATTATTTATTTATACTATAACATCTATATATATTAAAGTTGCAGTTGTAACTGTATACCTTTTGTAAGAGAAAGTATGGTTGCATCATAATTTCTTAAAGATAATTTGCAGCCATATCAAATTAAAAGTGAGGAGGGGATAATAAGTCACTTGAACCTTAAGCTTATGACTACCAGCTCTTTAGCTTATACTAAAAATATCAAAAGAGACAGGCAGCTCAATGCATGATGGTGGAAGACTGGACTCGTTGGTGGTGGGAGAAAAGTGGTATGTACCTGAGAAGTGAGATCCTCAATTTCTGAATCATATACAGTGTTGTAAACCAATGTTACCTTGATCACATACAAATGACAAAAATTAAGATGCGTTGATATTAATAATAATGCTCTTTGATCAGAAATACTTTGAAGTCAATAGTTTACATTAGATACTTTTGAGTTTCATTCTTGTCTCTCTTGTACCTGTTCACCTCAAACCATGCACACTGATTTCCTGCTGTTCCCCCATGCATGCACCTGTCTGGGGAATTTTCTACTTGCTGTTTACTCTGCCAGAAACACTTGCCCAAACCTTTGAAATTGCTGCTTAAATGTTTCCTGTCCAGAGCAGTCATGCAAGTTTCTCTAAACTATTTTATAAAAGTCACTCCACTCTCCATAGACCTTCTATACTCAGCCTTCTTCAATCTTCATAGCTGTCAATATTTAGCCCATATTTATTTGTTTGTTTACTCATCTAAATCTCTATAATAAAGACTAGCTTGAGTGGTATACCCTTGTGAATAGTAGCTTAACTTCGTTATTTTGCTGGAAACTATAATTTGAGCCTTGATTCTAAAATTAGTTTGTTGAGATTTAAACTATTCAAGAAATTCCATGGTGTATGGGCGAAAATGAACTTTGTAAACTACGAAACTTTCAAGAGGAAAATATCCCCTTATCTCCACTTGATAATGACTCCAGTTTTTGCAATAAATTTACAATTTTGAGAAATTCTTCTCCTGTAACACTGAATAATCCTTCATCTTTTGAAATTCTCCAAAAGTTTTTCTTCTCCAGCAACCTAACAAGAACCGGGAAAATGTTTCTAGAAGCAAATCAGAACATCCTCCCCCACTTCTCCAAATCTCATCTTAATAAAATATTTGTCCATCATACACTGTTTCATTATTTATTTGCTTTATTTAATAAATTTATACTGCCATCTAATATCCTTGAGCTCCAAACACATAACGAAATTGATGAAGATGGTTTTGCTGCAGTTTAGAATAAATTTTGTGTGGACACAGATTTTTGTTCTTTGATAGACTTCAGAAGAAGTAATGAGGAACAATAGATTTTAAAAACTCCATTTAGGAAACTGGTCCAGCTTTTAAGGAAAAGAGTCCAAAATGAAGTTTTACCAGGAGAGAAAAGTTGGTCTCATAAAGAAATTATTTCCTACCATCAAGGTTAAGGGACATTTGTAATGTCAATTCAACTAGATTTCTAAACTGAAATCGTATGTGCCTTCCACGATTGTCTGTTATGAGTGGAAATTGTTTTTCCTGGCCTAACATTATTTATTGAATGTGAATTGTTAGAGGAACAGTAAGGAGAACATCCCAAGTCAGTAAAGACATCCTGAACAGACTCTATCCCCATCTCCATCTCATGAACTAAGGATTACAATTCCCCACATGCTGTGAACTGGACTTCCTGAATGAGAGGCTGCTGGGAAGAAGGAAGCAGCCATGATGTGGGGAAGAGAGAGATGCTGACACACGTCCCTGGACTTGGTTTTGGCTGCTTTCTCTCTTTGACAGGTGGGCTTTCAGAGGCAATGGCAGACATTATCTAGGGTCTCTGGGGGATTCAGTTTGTACAGTACACTTGAACATTTGACTCTTCTTTTCTCCCAACTTACTTGATCTAAACTTCCTGTTAGAGGGTCCTTGGAGAACTTGATGTTTATTTTCCGTTCTTGGCTGTCCCATTGTGGGCACTGTGTGCTCAGTTGGGTGTTTGCCTACATGGGGAGAAGTGATTCCAGAGTTTAATCAGGATCCAATATTTGAAATCCTTCTTTCTCCTACTCCTTTTCTCTCTATTAAAAATATTTGACCACACTAGGGTCTGAATACTTTCCCATGTGTGTGCAGGTCGTGAAGACCTTTAGAATAGGGAAAAGCTTTTATTTTATTTTTTTTAAAGATTTATTTATTTGTGCATACAGAACTGGGGTACCGGCCAGCGTCTCAGGGGTGGTGAGAGGCTTCACCAGAGACAGAATGGGAAGCAGAACAGGCAGATCAACAAAGTACACTGCTGAGGGGAGCAGCGAGCAGGTCAGGAGAGGTCTGCCGCACCATGTGGTCACCTCCGGGGCAGGCGGGAATCGAACTCATGTGGAAGTGGCTTAGGCTTCTCAGTGCTGTGCTTTAACCCGCTGCGCCACCAGGGAGGACCAAGCTTTTATTTTTTATCAGGACTATGATGTTAGTTGTGGGTTTATCACATTAAACTTATTCTTTTGAAGAAAGTTCCTCTTATCATCATTATTAGGATGATGTTGAATGTTATCAAACTGATATGATCATGTGATTTTTTTAATCCTTTGGCTGATGTGCCATATTAAATTTCAGATTAGCATATGTTGAACATAAACGAAGCCTTAGTAAAATCAATAACACTTCAGAAATACAGTAGTTGAGAAAAACATCATTGTAACAACCACGTAATTGAGCAGAATATTCTAAAGCACCTTAAAAATCTTAAAACTTGAGAAATGTCACTGGTTTACCTGTCTGAAGTTTCTCTAGAAAAGTCCACTTAGCTGTTGTCTTTATTATACTTTATTCTGTTCACTCCCTGATAAAATTCCTATTTCTGTGGGGTTGGCAAAATGACTGAGTGACAATTTTATACCATTGCAATTGCCCAAGATGCAAATACCAGTAGAGGCAAACAATAATCTGACAATATCTTCAAAGCAATTTTTATAAGAAAAGGAATCCATAAGAGACTTTGAAATGCACTAATGTATTTCTGAGTATCACAAAAATTATGCACATAAACCAGGCTATATAAGCAAGGGGGAGAAATGAAAATACTTAGTCCTTCATCTTAGGCTGTCATGGGGTCTCTGCACAAGCAGAATGTAAAAATGAAGGCAATTTTTAAACTATTAGAACATTGAAGACATACTCTTACACAGACACACAAATCTCTAGGCAACAGCTGGGTTACTCATGGGAGACAAGGTAAAGGTAGCAATTATTGCAAAACACCTATTCTATGTTTCCATTTTTCTAAGGGACTGTCATCAACATGTACTTACAGCCAAGTTCCAGTCATTCCATGGACATATACAAACCTGCATCTGTGTTCTATAATCTGGTCATCCCTATGTTGACCCCTATGGTCACATAAAGGAACAAAGAGGTTAAGAAGTCACTCAAAAAAGACTGGAAAGGTGAAATGGTCCCTCGGTTTAGTCATTTAATGATGTGGGGTCAAAAATATAAATTCTTTCTTCTTACATCCACTCTATGCAGTAACTCAAATGTTAAACATGTGTGGTATATAGAACAAAAACTTTTGTCAAATAATAATAATTTATTTCATTTTGGAATTTTTTCCATGCATTAGAACTAACAAATTCAACAATGTTTCAAGATCAATATATATATCAGTTTTATTTCTATATTTTAGCACTGCATAACTTGATCATTAAGTAAATTTTATTAACAAAAACATCAAAAAATAAAATATATAGGACACATTAATAATCTGCAAATTTTATACTGTTAATGTTGCAAATATGTTTGAAAGAAATTAAGGAAAATCTATATAAAAAAAGACATCCTATGTTCATGGAGCAATATTGTAAAGCTGTCAGTAACCTCTGTTTCATGTACTGATTCAATGCTTTTAGTCAAAATCTGATGTGGCTCCTTTGTAGATATGATAAATTTACTGTTAGACTTACATGGCTATTCAAGAGGCACAGAATAGCCCAAATAATATTTTTAAAAGACAAATTTAGAATACTTTAACTTTCCATTTTGAAAACTGACTAGAAAAGGTATTATAATCAAAACAGTGTGATACTGGCATAAGAAAAAACAAAGATCAATGTGTTAATATTGTTATTTAGTTTATTTTCAATGGAGTTTTACAAGAATCAGTGAATACAGGACAAGTCTTTGCAATAAAAGGTGTTGGTACAACTGGATATCTATATGCAAAATAAATAAATAAATAAAAATAGATGCAGTGCCTTCAAAGGGTAGGGTGGCCTTCCCTACCCCTGCCTCTTGAAATTCCCAGCACCACCCCCACATCCATGCCTAGCTTCCTAGCTATCCCTATGCTGGACAGAGGTCCTGTCTCTTCTGTGTGACTCACAAAGGATCTTGTGCCTGTTCTGGGAAGTGGAGTGGGAGAGAGGCTAGCTAGATGTCATAGAAGGAGTTATCAGACCATCACAACCTGGAGAAAAGTCTCCAGGTCAGCAGAATCTGGTTACCACACTGCATTCTGCAGAAGTGCTGTGGTCTTCACTGGGCAGCACCACTCCCACCTGCTTGTGACCTTCATGTCCTCCAGCATGTACTAACCTCCAAAGTTTCACAGAATTGCAAAGAAACACTAGAGCCTGAATGATTTCCCTGCACACTCAGTGTTATGGGAAATGACTCAGCTACCTGTCCTTGTTGATCCTTGTCTTTGCCTTGGGGAATTGTTTTCATATTGAACATTGGGTTTGAGTGAACCAGACTTAAAT